TTATTTGATGCTCGGTTATTGAAAACTTGACACATTTTTTTATTTTACCCCCCAAAAGAGGATTAAAAAATGGAAAAGTTTACAGGCTATGAATAAAGTATAGTTCCAACTCAAAATACAATTAAAAAAATAACCTAAACTCCCACCTTCTTTTTCTTCAACCTGACGGAACACAGTTACGAAGCTGCAATTGTTCATTTCTAACTTTACTTTTCGTATTTTGGTGGTTGCAGAGTGATGCTGATTATTGGTTGTTGTCGGATGCGGGTATAAGCATCACCGACATGTGGAGGATAGAATGTATCCTAAATAAATATCATTATATTATTATTATTTTCTAAAAATCACCATTAACTCCTTTCAGCCTGATTTAATGAAGCTACTGTTGTCCAAGTACAAATACCCCTGCTTAAAGTGTCATGAACACCCCTATTGAAAAGAAGAGGAAGTAAAAGATGTCAACGGATGCTTGTAGTTTTAAAAGATAGATGTGTTTTTCGGTAATAGGTCAAAACTCTGGGGTTGTCTTCGTAATTGGCTCTTATTAGTTCTTTCCTGAGTATGAAAAGAAATGATTTTGGTTTAAATATTCTATATTTTACCACTATATTCCATAACTACAAACTGTACAGCTGGAATCGACTGGAATAACATAGATGTGATTCCCGAAGAAAGTGCCATAGGTGATGTCTCCACACCACGAGCCGAGAACCCAACACCAAATACATCCGAAATGCATACTTTTGTACCACAAGAACAAACTCCACCCACAACTATGGCAACAATGCCTCTTGCGACTGACACTTCAGGGACTTAAAGACTCAATCACAACTATGGCAACAATGCCTCTTGCCAGTTTTCCACCACTTGTTGTATGTAAATATAAAAGAGCTTCATTTATGTAATTTGTTGAAATTCTCGAAATAATGCAGATATTTCGAGTGCCGTCCAGAGTACTGAGAAATTACGTGTTTCTCATGCACGTAGTTACGTGCGCATGTTGAGAGTCGCGCTTCATTTCTGCTGCTTATTTATTGTAAAAGGTGTCGTTTTAGGTACAGTACGCATAAAAAAGGAGCAGCGGAGGATGGTACTCTCTTGCGCTAAGATGAAATGAAATGTGGATTCCGAACATTTTGCATGATTTTAATTGTGAGCTTGTCGGAAAATCTCTTCAAGTAATGCAGAAGGTAAAAAATGCAGTGGGGAATGAGACTTGAGATGGGTAAACTTGTACAGATATTTATTT